TTGTAAGCTTGTTCAAAAAAAAAAAAAAGATCTTTGCAAGTGGTAATGTATGTACTTAGAATGGGTGAGGTCCTGGGTTCAAATCCTACCACAAAAATAAAGATTATAATATATGGCTAGAGAGATGGCTCAGCAGTTAGGAACACTGGTTGCTGTTCCAGAGGACCTGATTGGTGTTCAATTCTCAAGACCATATGACAGCTTACAGTCATCTGTAACTCCAATTCCAGAGAATCTGTTGACCTCTTCTGGTCTCCATGGGTACCAGGTACATATATGGTATACAGATATAAATGCAGGTAAAATGCCTATACACACAAAATAAGTAAAACATTTTTAAAATCATTCACTTTTATTTTATGTGCACTGATGTTTTGCCTGCATGTATGTCTGTGTGAAGGTGTCAAATCTTGGAGTTACAGACAGTTGTAAACTTCCATGTGGATGCTGGGAATTGAACCTGGGTCCTCTGGAAGAGCAGTCAGTGCTCTTAACCCCTGACGCACCTCTCCGGCACGAGTAATTTTGTTTGTTTGTTTTGGTTTTTTGTTTTTTCAAGAGAAAAAACTACACAGGGTTTCTCTGTGTAGTTTTGGTGCCTGTCCTGGATCTCACTCTGAAGACCAGGCTGGCCTCGAACTCACAGAGATCTGCCTGGCTCTGCCTCCCCAGTGCTGGGATTAAAGGTGTTTGCCACTGCCGCCTGGCAGATTTTTTTTTAAATTAAAATGAATAAGTTTATGCATTGGAGCAATAACAACTTCACAATTTTTTTTCACTTATTTATCTTAAATGTGTACCAAGGTCAGTGTGGAGACCAGAAGACAACTTTCAGGGGTTGATTCCCTCATCCTACCACATGGATTCCGGGGATCCAGCTCTGCTCATCAGGCTTTGAGTCTTTCCCCGCTGTGCCAGCTCCCCGGCCCTGCTTCTTTTCCTGAGATGGGGTCCTGATTGTTCAAGTTGACCTTTAGCGTTGGGGCATGGACTCCCTTGACTCAGCCAACTCAGCATCCTGGACTCTAGGTGACAGCTTACCCAATCTCAACCTGTTGGTTTGGATACTGTATCACAGTTATGAAAGTTGCTGCTGTTGGGGAAACCAGACAAGGTATTCAAGAGTCTGTGTTTGGGGCTGACGGCTCAGTGGTTATGAGTGTGTATTGCCGCTCTTCCAGATGATGTCAGGTCCCAGTACCTACATTAAGTGGCTCACAATGGGAACTCTAGCTTCAAGAGATCCAAAGCCTCTAGATTCCTCAGTTGCTCTAGCACACACTCGTGCACACACACATACCAACAAAAAAAAAAGTTAAAATTAAATGTTTGCTTTTTGAAACTACACCTGACTCTGTGAGGTTTATTTTCCTTTTTTTTTTTAAGTCTTAGGTAGCTCAGGCTGTCCTTGAACTGATTCTCAGATCACCTGCCAAGTACTGCGATTGTAGGTAGGTATCATCATCCCCGGCTTCTGTTTCTTTCTTTTCTTTTTTTTTTTTTAGATGTATTTATTTATTATATATACAGTGTTCTGTCTGCACCAGATCTCATTACAGATGGATGTGAGCCACCATGTGAGTGCTGGGAATTGAACTCAGGACCTCTGAACGATCAGCCTGTGCTCTTAACCTCTGAGCCACCTTTCCAGCCCAATATATTTTATTTTATTTTTATGTGCATTTGTGTTTTTGCCATGGATGTCAGGGTCCCCTGAAACTGGAGTTACAGACAGGTGTGAGCTGCCATGTGGGTGCTGGGAATTGAACTCAGGTCCTTTGGAAGAACAGTCAGTGCTCTTAACCCTTGGGCCATCTCTCCAGTCCCCCAACTTCTGTTTCTTGAAAATAAAATGTTTGTATGTGGTACTTCACTGCAAAGACTTCAGACCAATTATTTGTATTACACTTGGTTTCCTCTTGGCTATATAACTTCTGAGCACAAGTCATCAAAGTCTTGAATGAAGTATTGTAGAAAATAAATCATGATGGATTAAAAAAAAATAGGTAAGTTCTTTGGGACCAACACTTTTTTTTTTTTTAAAGTACACTGGTGTTTTGCCTGCATGTGTGTCTGTACGAAGGTGTCACATCCTCTGCAACTGGAGCTACAACAGTTGTGAGCTGCCATGTGGGTGTTGGAAATTGAACCCGGGTCCACTGGAAGAGCAGTCAGTGCTCTTAACCAATGAGCCATCTCTCCAGCCCAACATCTTTAATGCCATACACTTTTTTGTTTTGTTTTTTATCCTGAAAGAGAGTCTCACTATATAGCCCTGGCTCTCCTGGAACTCACTATGTAGACCAGGCTGGCCTGGAACTCACAGAGATCTGCCTGCATTTGCCTCCCATATGCTGGGATTAAATTCATGCACCACTACATCCAGCTTTAATGCCATATTCTTACTAGCATTCAGAAACCATGAGACTAAAACTTATAAAATTTTGTATTTCTACACTTGTATTTGTGGCATTCCATTTAGTGCCTACTCGTTTATCTCAATACTAATAAGAAGAGCACAGAATTCTTTGAAGAGACCCTTTACATTCCCACCACCCTCTCTCCCCTCTCTCCTGGATATCTCCTGTTTAAGGCCTGTTGTTCCGGCTACAGGGATCTAGAGGCATCCTAGTAAGTCTTTTCATGGCGGACTGTACCATAGTCAGGCTGGTCTGGCCTCGTGGTCCTTGGATTAGAGATGCTACCATGCCTGGCTCTCTTACTCATTTTCCAAGAATGTTAAAGTTCCACCATTGCTGAGAAGTATTCCTGGATTCTTCAATTCTCCCACCCCAGCTTCCAACGCACTTCAACAGGCAAAATTAACCTCATGGCTTAGGGATGCTTTCACAGCCTCCATCAAAACATTTCTCTCAACTAGGGTGTGGTGGTGCTGGCCTATAATCCCAGCACTTGGGAGGCAGAGACATGAAGTTTACAAGTTCAAGACAAAAAAAATAGATGGAGATCCAGGCACGTCTGGACACACAGCAAGACCCTGTCTCAAAACCACTACCACCACACAATCAACCACCCACACTAACTAATTAATAGATAGATAGATAGATAGATAGATAGATAATGAATAAATAAGTATCTCTGGGCTGGCACTTGCTGCTCTTCCAGAGGACCCATATTTGATTTGCAGCATTCACATGGTGGCTCACAAACATCTGTTTCCCGGGATCTGCCCACGTCTGGCCTCCTCAAGGGCATCAGGCACAAAAGATATGCAGCCATACATGCAGGCAAAACACCCATACACATAAAATAAGAATTATGACACTAAAATTGTCATTTTTTTCTAATTAACACCTATTCCCATTGGACTGATTGGCCCCTGAGAACACAGACTTTTGTGACAATCATCTTTGAATTTTCATTCTTGCAACAATGTCACGTGACTGTATTCAGTAAGTATCCAGTGAAGGAAGCAGTTGGACTAAGGCCTCTGCAGTTTAGGTACAGTGGACCCAAGTAATTCATTTCAGGCCAGAGATGGAATTCTGCAGTAAGACGAAGCATTTGGTGATTCTGCTGGTAGGGTTCTGTCCCCTGGTTAGGTTCTCTCTGGCTGTGTATAGTTTCATTATCTTTTTTTGTTTTTGTTTTGGGTTTCTTTTTCGAGACAGGGTCTCTCTGTGTAGTCCTGGAACTTGCTCTGTAGATCAGGCTGGCCTCGAACTCAGAGATCTGCCTGCCTCTACCTCCTGAGTGCTGAGATTAAAGTCATGTGCCACCACCGCCCGAGTTTCCTTATCTTTTAATCAAATATAAAAGCCTCTCCTTGCAGGGTTGTTGGGAAGATCGCAACAGATACTTCATGAAAACCTCTTAGAACAGTGCCTGACAGAGGACAAAATACATTCCTTGTGCTGGCTGGTGTCTGTCAACTTGACACATGCTAGAGTCATTTGGGAAGAGGGAAACTCAATTGAGAAAATGCCCCCTACAAGATTGGCCTGTAGGACATTTTCTTAGTTAGTGATTGACGGGGG